GCAATGGTGCCTTGTTGTGCACACATGGCTGAGGCTGATACACGTTGAACTTCCAAAGCTCGTCAAACAACGTTATGGGACAGATCTTCACTCACGACAATTTCCTCTTTGAAACCTGAAATCTCACAGGCTCTCGATTCGCTTTTAGATGAAATCCGCACCACAGAGGATGCTAAGGTTATGAGGACAAATACTTCACAACGGCGATCGTCATTCTCACGTTTTGCTAAAGCACAACAAACGGGTAGAAAGTTTCCAAAATCATGTCCACTGTGTAAAGTTGCAGGATACGGCGATCATGTTCACTATCTCAGCGAGTTCAAGTTCCTTCCAGATCATTACCGGAGATACATGGTCAAAGCAAGACAAATTGCCAGTATACTTGATGACCCTGCTGACGATGCTAGTGATACAGTTGAAAATGTGTGTGCAGAGCCATCCACTGAACCTGTCTCCACTCTTCGTGTGCAAGTCCGACAGTCGCCCTATATGTATTGTTTCTGTGGCCACCAGACGGCGCGTGTCAGTGTAGATAGTGGAGCTACTGGTAATATGATCCGCCTCTCAACAGCAACAGGCCTCGGCGCTGACATCAAGACTAGTTCTCAGTCAGCCCATCAGGCAGATGGCTCTTCCCCACTGAAGGTCGTTGGAGAGACAAGAATCCTTTTCACACGCGACAACAAGGAGTTCGATTTTAATGGCCTTGTGGTTAAAAACCTGGATGTAGAGGTCCTTGCAGTCATACCATTTATGGAGGCCAACGATGTGGCAGTACGCCCTGCAAAACATCAGATCATACTTGGTGATGGTACGACATACACATACGGTCCCACAGAAACAACTGATGACAAACATACTGTGAGACGAGCTTGTGTACTCAGAGCCCCAGACACTTCTACTACCATATGGCCTGGAGACTTTATTGAGGTGCCGGTTCCTGAAAGCTTTGCTCCTGCAGATTTCACATTTGCCATAGAACCCCGCTTCGATACCAGACCTGGACGCTCTACCTTGTCATCCACTTGGCCAGAATTAGGAATTATCTCACGCGTCTCAGGCAAAATCAGGATCCCGAACCTGTCCGACACTCCACAAATGCTCAAGAAATACGAGCACTTTTGCCAGATTCGCCCAGTTTTTATACCTGACTGCGACCCTGATAATGTCGAGCCGCCACATCTGCTACCAACTATGTCCCCTCAAATTAAAGACATTGGTTTCTCATCCACTGTTTGTGTAGACCCAGACAATATCCTCCCGCAAAATACCAAATCTCAGTTTGAGTTACTACTTACAGAGTTCGAAGATGTGTTTAACCAACATATCGATGGCTATAAGGGTGCTTCAGGCCCCTTTCAAACATTTGTTAATGTGGGACCTGTACAACCTCCACAACGGAAGAGTCATGTCCCGCAATACTCACGAGATAAAACGTTCTGAGCTTCAACAGAAGTTCAATGAACTTGAGCTGATGGGTGTATTTGTACGACCTGAAGATGCAGGTATCCAAGTAGAATACCTCAACCCTTCTTTCCTAATCAAGAAGTCCAGTGGTGGTTACAGATTGGTTACCGCCTTCTCTGATGTAGGACGATACAGTAAGCCACAAGCTTCCCTCATGCCTGATGTCGATTCTACTCTAAGACAGATTGTCAAGTGGAAGTACATTATAACCACGGATTTAACCAATGCCTTTTATCAGATTCCTCTGTCCAAGGAATCGATGTAATACTGCGGTGTAGTGACCCCGTTTCGTGTTGTGAGAGTATATGCCAGGTCTGCAATGGGAATGCTGGGCTCCGAAACTGCGTTAGAGGAGCTAATGTACCGCATAATGGGGGATCTTTTAGAGGAAGGGCTAAGCTTGCCGATGACCTTTATTGTGGTGCTGAAAGTCCGGATGCGTTACTTCGTCATTGGAGACGCGTACTTGAAGCGCTCAAACACAACAATCTTAGATTATCTCCTAACAAGCCAGTCATTGCTCCCAGGACAACAACCATCCTAGGATGGCAATGGCACCAAGGATCCATTCAAGCAAGTCAATACCGCATATCAACTCTGGCTTCTTGTTCACCTCCGGAAACAGTGAATGGCTTACGGTCATTTATAGGAGCTTACAAGCAATACAAGGTCTTGTCCCGTGTAATACCTGATTGTTCCACACTACTTACCCCACTTGATGCTGAAGTGGGAAGACACCAGTCCAGTGAAAAGCTTCTGTTGTCTGACTCTTTGCTCAATGCCTTCAAAACAGCACAGACTGGTCTCGCATCCAACAAATCCATAGTACTGCCTCACCCCGATGACCAACTCTGGATTGTAACTGATGGTGCTGTTAGGAAGCCAGGTAGTGGCTCGCTACGACTAGCAGGATTCTTCAGTGCCAAGCTTCAGCGACAACAGGTTGCATGGTTACCATGTGAAGTGGAAGCCCTTTCAATTGCTATCGCTACCAAGCATTTCAGTCCTTTCATTATCCAGTCAAAACACAAAGCATGTATCCTTACCGACAGTAGACCATGTGTTTTGGCATTTGAGAAGTTATGCCGTGGGGAGTTCTCTGCTAGTCCTCAGGTGTCTACCTTCTTATCGACAGTTAGCCGCAACCGAGCAACGATACAAAACCTCGCTGGTTCTGCAAATGTGCCATCCAATTTTGCAAGCAGAAATGCACCAGAATGTGACAATCCATCTTGCCAAATCTGCTTCTTCATTGAGCCCACAGAAAGCTCTGTTGTTCGACAACTGTCTATAGAGGACATCATGAATGGAACTACCCGCCTTCCTTTCACAAGCAGGTCTGCTTGGCGTTGCTTGCAAGAGGAGTGCCAGGATCTTCGATGAACACATGCTCATCTTCTCCAAGGTACCCGACCATCCAAGAAGGTAACAAACATCAGGGATGTCAAGCGATACCGAAATGCAGCAACCATCTCCAAGGCTGGATTGCTTGTTGTCCGAAAATCTGACCCACTCGGTTCACCAAGAGAGTGCATTGTTGCGCCAAGACAAGTATTGGACGGAGTCCTGACTGCCCTGCACATACAACTGAATCACCCATCTGCACACCAACTCAAGCAAGTATGCCATAGACATACTTCTTTGCTTTAGACCTTGACAGATCCATAGACAGTGTCTCAAGATCTTGTCACCAGTGTGCCTCCTTGCGTAAGACACCTCATGTTGTTGTAGACCAAAGCACCAGAAACTGTTGGGTTTGCATTTGCGTGAGATGTTATGCGCAGAATTAGAATTACCCTAGAAATAGGCAGAGTGAAGAATGTGAACAAAAACCCAGTGTTTACTCTCATCTTGACTGTTTGGGTCAAGAGAACTTATGCCAAGGAGCCAAGTTGTTTTTCGCGCCTGTTTCCTTTATTATGGTTTGTTTAGATTACTTTTATCATGAAGAAAAAAAGACAGTCACGCCAACGCAGGTTTGCTTGGCATGTATTAATGTAAGCTCCCCTTGGTGGCTCGCTTGTCTTTAGAGGCTCGCTTGGGTTTCGTGTTCGTTTCGAGGGTTGCCAATAAATGTCATCAAGCGTTTACCTGTGTCCTGTCGATGTGTGACAAATGTACAGTTCCTCCTAAGCTAACTGGCGATTAAACAAGCCCTGACCAATACATTACATATTTTTGCCTGTGTTTACTTCCTCAGTGTCAGGGTTTGGTGATCGGATGGGAGTTGTCTCCCCTGAAGAGTGTTCATCATATGTAAACAAGGTTGAATCAGCTGCTTTGTCAATTTTTTGTCCTCTCAGCTGCTCTCGGGCGATCATTTACACATATCACAGTATCCGATTTCCGATCACATAAATAAACAGCCAGTGAATAGCTTCTTGTGTCTTATCCTTGGTTGTTCCCCCATTTTAGCGCTTCTGAGAAAACGGTAGACAGGGGATGTCGTTCACACTTTTGTTGTTGTATCCTCAGTCACACAATAGTCTTCTCCTTGCAGTGTAGACTTAGCTGTTTGTAATACATTTTTACAGACCTCACTTACAACAAAGTTCACTTTTATTAACAAATGTAAATTTTGGGATAACAGAGGCGGTCTCCACGAAATGAAAGTCCAACAACTGGTAGTCTAGATCACATACTTTGTGTACTTCTCTGACAAGTGACTGCCTCCCTGGACTAGTGGTAGATGATCTGCCTGGAGAGGCGAAGGTCCGGGGTTCATTCCCCAGCCGCGTCATACCAAAAGATGTTAAAGAGGACACTTGTTGTTACCCTGTCTGGCGCTTTGCATTAAGGGTGTAAAACAAGGACTGGTCAGCTTGGAGTCAGTATACTGTGTCTGAGTGGGGTATTCATGTTTAGCAGCAACATGGTATCCCACTATGAGTCCGGACTAGTACAATGGAACCCAATTTCACCTAAACAATTGGCATGATCCATGGCCGAAAGCTATGAACAGTCAATGCCATTTAGAAAGTGGTCAAATGTAACCAATGTTATATTTGGGATAACACTCTCTTAGTAAAGTACAGATCTACACTACCATGAATATGAGCTTCCTATGGCAGTGGACAAATAATACAGGAAATGAGAATGTGTTTAACCATGGTAACAGAGATATATAAATAATGTTTTAATGAATTTGTTATTTTTTTCAAAATGTTAACAAAAATGTCAAATAGGAATTTTCACACATGGAGTATTTGTTCCGACGGGAATTGCAAGTATTTGTGCCAAAATTCATGTATACTTTCTCTGTGCAGATTATAGGGAATGCAAGTAACACATACGTCGCTTGTTGTTGCTCTCTATCCAGTACCCCATACAACCACGGCTCTCATTTCTTTTACCCCCATTTGTGGTCTTGTTGTGTAGTAAAAACATTTGAATTAGAAATCATTCTGGTTTGGGGCCCAAATACTGCAATCTTCCCATAGGTCTTCGTGGAACAGTTGGCAGATTGTGAATGTGCAAATGATGAATGTTTCCGGGTCAAAGTTTCCGGAGTAAAGAAAATTCATATGGGAAAATATTCCAGTGTTAGTAAGATACAGGCTGTGGAAGTTATATCCTTGGCAAACTTTTCCTCTGGAAAGAATCTCTAGGGGGAATAGATATCCTACACATGTTTCATACACCCCCATCAAATAATCAGGAGCTAATTCCTCTTCATCATTCAGAGTTTCTCAGTTGGGATGGAGGTGAAAAGGAAGAGCTGTGATAATGATGGACAACCTGAAGCAAAGCAAGCCAGATCAGAAACCACAAGGACATCAGATGTTTCAGGTGTGTATATACATACAATTAAAGATCATACATTATCATATGAATTTGCAGCTCCACAGTTGCAGGACTCTGTTAAACCAGAGTTGATTCTAAATATACTTGCTGCCTTTTCACATTGTTATAGTTTGCTTAAAGGCAAAGTAGTTGATTACCGACGACCATGCCTTTCACTTGTTCGTGTCGCTCTGGTCATGTTTTAGATTTCCATTCATCCCTTTCCTGTAATAACTATAAAAGCTCAGTGTGCAAATCACATAGAGAAGAGTCAATAATTTTCATCTGCAACATTTAATTATTCCGAAATTGTGACACGGCCCCAACTTGTATTGTGTGGGAAAACTGTTAAAATGCAAAATTTGTCACAGATACTAGAAAACTATAACCAATCTTACTCCAAAGGTCAACACTCTGTTGAAATGGACACTGCAGAGATCGGTGAGACGGGCGATCTGTCGGCGGGGATCATATCCAAAGGAAGTCAGAGGGAGCATGCCAGCGACTCAACAGAGAGTTCTAGTTCAGAATCAGAGTTGGAGAAGGAAAAGGAACGTCTCCGCGCAGAAGAGAAGCGCCTGACTAGATCCTGCAGAAAACAACAACTCCGGGCTGAAATCAATGAGCTACAAGCTTCAGTAGAGGATAAAAAGGTCCAGAAACAGGCAAGTGTGAAACCCAGGTTCCTGATGGAAATAGTTTCAACTAAAGAGGTTAACCCAGACAGTCTAAATAATAGTGAACATAGGTAACACACACACACACACACACACACACACACACACACACACACACACACACACACACACACACACACACACATGCATGCACCTCCTCCCTACACACACAAACACACACACACCAGCACACATGCATGCACCCCCCCCCAACAGAAATACACACACCCCAAGTCCCCAACACACATGCATGCACCCCACCACACACAGAAACACACTGATATAGATTGTATGACTGCTTCTTCCTCTTTTTATGATTTTCCAATTTCACCTGGGGTCCTATCTTGCCTTTTTAATAGAGACGGTTCTTTTCAGGTCCAAATTCTCCTTTGTTTTCGGAAAGACAGCTTCTTCAAATAGTTTCATGACCTCCTATAAGCATGATAAGTATAAAAGTAAGTAGTGATAGTTCTACAAGCCCTCAAGGTCGCATATGTCTTCTCTTTAAGACAAGTCATTATCATAATGACCGAAAGAGTCACAGAAACCAATAAATTCATAATTGGCACATCATTTGATAAGATCTTAATCTAATGAACTAATGAAATCTATGGTGTTTAGATTCCTATAATATTCCAAAATAATATTTTGCTATGAAACAAGCCCAGACAAAAACATTACATATTTGTGCCTGTGTTTACATCAGCGTTTGATGATCGGATAGGAGTTGTCTCCCCTTAAGTTTTCAAAATGTTAACGTAAATATCAAATAGGAATTTTCACACATGGAGTATTTGTTCCGACCGGAATTGCAAGTATTTGTGCCAAAATTCATGCATCCTTTCTCTCTCTGATGTGCAGGTCATAGTGAATGTGAGAGACACATACGTCGCTTGTTGTTACTCATTATCCGGTACCCCATACAACCACGGCTCTCATTCTGGTCCCTTTAGCCCCCATTTGTTGTCTGCTTGTGTCACAAGAACATTTGATTTTGAGATTGTTCTGGTTTGTGGACCCGAATACTGCAGTCCTCCCGTAGGTCTTCGTGGAACAGTCAGCAGATTGTGAATGTGCAAACGATTCATGTTTCCGGGTCAAACAGTTTGCGAAGGAAAGAATATACATCTGGGAAAATATTCCAGTGTTAGTAAGGTAATGATAAAGGAAATAATATCCTTGGCAAAAGTTTCCTCTAGGGGGGGAATAGATATCCTATTACAAATGTTCCATACACTCCCATGAAATAATAGCTAATTCCTCTTCATAATTCAGTGTTTCACATTAGGGATGGATGGGAAAGGCAAGGGGAGTGACAATGACAAACGACCTGAAACAGAGCAAGCTAGATCAGATAGCCTGCCAGAAGGCACCGGGACGTCGATATCAAATGGTACGTATAATTATAGATCATGCATTATCGTATGAATGTGCAGCTCCTCAGTTGCAGGGCTCTTGCAGCTGATTACATTGGTGTACATCTGATAATGCCTTATCGTGCTAACGTGTGAAATGCTAACAGGTGTACATATAATAATGCTGTGTCTTGTAGCTGGCTTCATAAGTGTACATATAATAATGCTGTGTCTTGTAGCTGGCTACACAAGTGTACATATAATAATGCTGTGTCTTGTAGCTGGCTACACAAGTGTACATGTAATAATGCTGTGTCTTGTAGCTGGCTACACAAGTGTACATATAATAATGCCCTGTCTTGTAGCTGGCTTCATAAGTGTACATATAATAATGCCCTGTCTTGTAGCTGGCTACATAAGTGTACATTTGATAATGCCTTATCTACAAGCTACAAGATCTACACTTATGTACACTTATATAACCAGATGTAAGATAAGGCATTATTATATGTACACTTATGTACCCAGATGAAATATAGGATTTAATTATTTACTTATGTAGCCAGTACAAGACCTGAAATTATTATATGTACACTTATGTAGTCAGCTACAAGACACAGCATTTTTGATGCCACATAAGTGTACATATAATAATGCCCTATCTTGTAGCTGGCTACATACCTGTAATATAATAATGCTGTATATTGCAGCTGGCTACATAACTATACATATAATAATGCCCTATCGTGCAGCTGACTACATAACTGTACATATAGTAATGCCTTATTGTGCAGCTGGCTACATAACTGTACATATAGTAATGCCTTATCGTGCAGCTGGCTACCTAACTGTACATATAGTAATGCCTTATCGTGCAGCTGGCTACATACCTGTACATATAGTAATGCCTTATCGTGCAGCTGGCTACATAAGTGTACATATAATAATGCCTTATCGTGCAGCTGGCTACATAACTGTACATATGGTAATGCCTTATCGTGCAGCTGGCTACATAACTGTACATATAATAATGCCTTATCGTGCAGCTGGCTACATAAGTGTACATATAATAATGCCTTATCGTGTAGCTGGCTACATACCTGTACATATAATAATGCTGTATATTGTAGCTGGCTACATAACTGTACATATAGTAATGCCTTATCGTGCAGCTGGCTACATAATTGTACATATAGTAATGCCTTATCGTGCAGCTGGCTACATACCTGTACATATAGTAATGCCTTATCGTGCAGCTGGCTACATAAGTGTACATATAATAATGCCTTATCGTGCAGCTGGCTACATAACTGTACATATGGTAATGCCTTATCGTGCAGCTGGCTACATAACTGTACATATAGTAATGCCTTATCGTGCAGCTGGCAACATAAGTGTACATATAATAATGCCTTATCGTGTAGCTGGCTACATACCTGTACATATAATAATGCTGTATATTGTAGCTGGCTACATAACTGTACATATAGTAATGCCTTATCGTGCAGCTGGCTACATAATTGTACATATAACAATGCCCTATCTTGTAGCTGGCTACATACCTGTACATATAATAATGCTGTATATTGTAGCTGGCTACATAAGTGTACATATAGTTATCATGCAGCTGGCTACATTAGTGTACATATAATAATGCCCTATCTTGTAGCTGGCTACATACCTGTACATATAATAATGCTGTATATTGTAGCTGGCTACATAACTGTACATATAGTAATGCCTTATCGTGCCGCTAGCTACATAACTGTACATATAGTAATGCCTTATGGTGCAGCTGGCTACATAATTGTACATATACTAATGCTGTATATTGTAGCTGGTTACATAAGTGTACATATAACAATGCTGTATATTGTAGCTGGCTACATAAGTGTACATATACAAGTCCGTTTGACTCCAAATGAGAACGATGAATTGCAAAATAACTTGAAATCCAGAAAAGTGTATGAAACATCAATACGGTACTTGACCAACAAAATCTGAATTTTGTTTATTTTAAGACCCATGACGGATATAGTTCTTTAAGAAACTATCATGTAATTTGGTATAGAAATGTGTACATGACACGTAGGGGGACAAACCGTGGAAGGAACAGCGCAAGCACGCATGCACTGCACGTTCTGTGGTAGGGGAAAAGACAGAGCCTTATCGTGCAGCTGGCTACATACCTGTACATATAGTAATGCCTTATCGTGCAGCTGGCTACATAAGTGTACATATAATAATGCCTTATCGTGCAGCTGGCTACATAACTGTACATATGGTAATGCCTTATCGTGCAGCTGGCTACATAACTGTACATATAGTAATGCCTTATCGTGCAGCTGGCAACATAAGTGTACATATAATAATGCCTTATCGTGTAGCTGGCTACATACCTGTACATATAATAATGCTGTATATTGTAGCTGGCTACATAACTGTACATATAGTAATGCCTTATCGTGCAGCTGGCTACATAATTGTACATATAACAATGCCCTATCTTGTAGCTGGCTACATACCTGTACATATAATAATGCTGTATATTGTAGCTGGCTACATAAGTGTACATATAGTTATCATGCAGCTGGCTACATTAGTGTACATATAATAATGCCCTATCTTGTAGCTGGCTACATACCTGTACATATAATAATGCTGTATATTGTAGCTGGCTACATAACTGTACATATAGTAATGCCTTATCGTGCCGCTAGCTACATAACTGTACATATAGTAATGCCTTATGGTGCAGCTGGCTACATAATTGTACATATACTAATGCTGTATATTGTAGCTGGTTACATAAGTGTACATATAACAATGCTGTATATTGTAGCTGGCTACATAAGTGTACATATACAAGTCCGTTTGACTCCAAATGAGAACGATGAATTGCAAAATAACTTGAAATCCAGAAAAGTGTATGAAACATCAATACGGTACTTGACCAACAAAATCTGAATTTTGTTTATTTTAAGACCCATGACGGATATAGTTCTTTAAGAAACTATCATGTAATTTGGTATAGAAATGTGTACATGACACGTAGGGGGACAAACCGTGGAAGGAACAGCGCAAGCACGCATGCACTGCACGTTCTGTGGTAGGGGAAAAGACAGAGCGTTAGAGGGGCCGTCTCATGATAATTTCAGTCGCAATCTGACTCACTCATGCCATAGATCTCGTCGTTGGAACTGCTGGTACCTGAACCGACTGCCACTATTATAGGTTGGACTGTTGCTGGCCGTAGTCCATCTCGTGACCAATAACGTGGCTCTATCTCGTCAACGAGTGTGGCCACACAACGCCTCCATGTTTCAACTGTTACCCGACCAAGGGATTCCTTTACGAGTTGTTCAACGTCTCGTAATTTGAACGTTGTGTTCGATCGTCCAACGTCACCCTTGACGATGCCCCATACCAACTCGATTGGATAAGGTGGCAGTCGTAAGACAGCGTGACGCTGACCCTTGATGTAACTGTCAACTTTATACACGGGGTCAGGTTTCATAGAGCTGTGATTTCGTCCCTCGAGAAGGAAAGGTAATGTTCCTCCGTTGCAGCCAAGTAACCATGTGTCCTTTACGGTTATTAGAGGTTGGAGTCTTGCTTTCTGGATCCTGCACACTATGATACGGTGCATTGTCCATGACAATGAGAGACTTGGTAGGCAAAGCAGGGACTAATTTATCTTTCACCCACTCCAGAAATACATTGCCGTTCATTTCTGTGTGGTAGTCCCTGTTGTCTTTGGTCTTGGCTCTAAAGACGAGGTCACTGAGGGGACAGTTTCTGAGGCATGACATTTACAGGGCACAGAATTTATCATTAATTATTTTGTGAGTATAATATAAGAATTTACAAACTAGAAATAATGTTTGCTCATTATGATTAATAAGAATATTTATAACATGAGAATTACTGTAATGAGTACGCATAGGAAAATTAACAAGGTATTTTTGTCTTAGGGCAGAATATAATTTATAATTAAAGAGTACATGGAATTCATCCTCAATGACATTAACTCCTTTACTACTACAATAGTTACAGAATCTGAGTGAACGGTCTGTTTTACTATATCTGCCAGTTTCTAAAGCTATTTTAAAATTTGAACATCTGAATTTAGTAAAAACAATTCTTAAATCGGTAGGGAGTGGACATGACAAGTACCTTTCAACATTTAACATGGATTTAAAATGCTTATAAAGATCACATTTTGGAGAAGAGTTTACAGAAGCATTCCAGAATTGCTGTAAATTATCTTTGAGCCTTTGCTTAAAATGGAGAATAAAAGCTTTAGAGTCACCCACCTCTTGATTGAGCCATACAAAACCAAACCCAAATTGGATTAAAATATTTCTAACTTTAGTCGCCCAATTATACCCGCCCAACATCATCTAAAGATTTAAGCATTAAATAGCATTGGGTGGGTAATCTGTGGGGTTGAAGATGTAAGAGCCTGCACCAATATTTAATTACTTTAGTCATGTAAGTGAGTTGTAAAGGAAACCTCCCACATTCCCTTAAAACCATATTTGAACAGGTTGATTTGTTTACTTTTAAATAATGCTTACAAGAGGCGATTTGGACAGATTCGATTTTTTTTTACAATAGCAAGTACCCCAAATTTCAGAGCCATAGGTTAAGATGGGGGTGACCATAGAGTCAAAAACCTTAAACAGATCTGTACAAGTGATATTACCAATTTTTCTTTGAAAAGAGTTAATGGCTAAAATTGCTTTGGTGGCTTGGGATGCTAGAGTAGTTTGTGCCTTACTCCATACAAGCTTAGGTGTAAACATTAAGCCAAGATATCTATAGCTTGAAACAGTTTCAATAAGTTCAACATGATAAAACCACTTTTCATAACTGCGAAGATGGCAACCTTGCCTAAATACAATTACTTTTGTTTTTTTTAAGTTAATTTGCATGCCTGTTTTATTACAAAATATTTCCAAAGCATTAATTTTCTTTTGAAGCTGGGCACAACTATCTGAGAGGGCAGAGACATCATCAGCAAAGAGCTTTTGAAGCTCATTTCAAGAATTTATTAATTGCATAAAAAGGCTTTGCCTTTTCTGCTTCACTTCTAAAGAAATCATACACATTCAAAATCAACTGTTTAACATCTGCTGAGTAGCGCATCTTGTCATTAAATGAACACGGTAACTGTGTAGCACGTGCAGACCGTGCTTGCGCTGTTCCTTCCGAGGTTTGTCCCCCTACGTGTCATGTATACATTTCTATACCAAATTACATGATAGTTTCATAAAGAACTTCATCCGTCATGGGTCTTAAAATAAACAAAATTCAGATTTTGTTGGTCAAGTACCGTATTGATGTTTCATACACTTTTCTGGATTTCGAGTTATTTTGCAAGTCATCGTTCTCATTTGGAGTCAAACGGACTGTAATAATGCTGTATATTGTAGCTAGCTACATAAGTGTACATATGACAATGCTATTAATTGTAGCTGGTTACATAAGTGCAAACATTCTAATCATTTCATAATTTCACAGAGAAAAAAAATCCCCATATCATTAAACCTCAAAACATATTGAGCTATCTCTCTGATTCCAATACACCCTCATTACATCTCCTTCCTTGGTTTCAGTGACTGGTATGAGTGGTGGACGTGCAGGGAACTGTAACATTACTGGTCAGAGCATACATATACACTGTAAGTACAATTATGTCAATTGAATGATGAGGATGCCATGTTTTGCAACTTCGTAAGATACAGAAAATCGACTCAGGCATAAAAACTTGAGGGCAATAGTGTGCTAAGCTAGCCATTTATACTTATCCTTTGATCGCAAACACAACCATTTGCACCCTACACAAAATGCAGCCAAGCCTTCATTCTTGTGTGTTCAAACCATGTGTTTTTGCTCCCCATGACACTTGATCACCAAATAGAGGAAAGACATGGATAAGCCTGCTGTTTGCCAACTATGTTGTTTTTTTTACATTTTATCAACCTGTATTTTGCAGTAGATCAATATTCTACCTTGGCCAAAGTGAGTTATACGCCACATTTCACTTCTACCATGACTGTCAACCTGTTCGACCCTAGTCGTATAAGTTGAGAAAGCTGTTCTACCTCATGTTTCGCCTCCATGGATCCTAGACTGAAAAGACAGAGCTGGCACGTATGCATTATGCTTTCTCCCTCTTTTGGACTTGACAACAGTCGACTTTTACCTCAACTCCTCGACCGAGAGGCCGTTCCCGTACCTGACGAGATGGTTCCATTTGCCATACCCTTCTCCATGGACCCATTGATATCGCCTGCTGTCATACCCTGCATGTCCACCTCTATGGGATGCCAATCTGCCTCGATGTCGTCACCTCATGCAACTACCTGTATCGGGCGAGTACCTTCCCGCCCTCTGGTGTATTTGCTGTCTCCCTCTTCGGCAACACTGCCGTGATATTGCTTGAATATTGCGGTGTAAAACCATACTCACTCACTCCTTCACTCCTTCTTCTTCACTCACTCCGTCACTCCTTCACTCCTTCACTACTTCACTACTTCACGCACTCACTCACTCACTCACCAACTCACTCACTCAGGCACACTGTTCCTCTCCTCCTGTAACACAGATGACCTGCTGTCATTGCACACCCTCTCCCACTGAGATCCTTTGCCTCAGACTATGATAAGGATCATAGTAATGTGGAGTTGCTGTTGTTGGATGGTGTCCCAGCTCTCACTGGATTCACCTCAGAAGTTGGACCCTTCGTCGATGTTTGAAATGCTTGGTGATGACCTAACCCCTTTAATGCTTCAACCAGCTTCAACCGGTCCACTGCATCTTCCCAGGATAAGTCCTTTGCTGGACTGCCCACCTTCCGATGTCATGTTCTCCCTGTCCACTGACTGCGGTCTTTGGCTACATAAGTTGGGTAATTAATCATCCTCCTTCCCTGTGGATGTCAGGGATCTGTTTTCTGTTAACACTGCCATTTGCCATTCACTCTTGCTTCTCTCCCTCGCCATGTTGGCAAATCAGGCGTTACCTGCTGCTCTCAACCACCCCACGATGTTGCATGAGGCACAGCTTTTCTCTGAGATGCATTTTCAGCAACAACACCTTGCTAACGCTGTTTCTTTCTTGGCCCATGCTACAGGTATGTGTACCTTAATTCGCTGTTGGGGATATATTGCTCAGTCTTCTTGGGATTCTGAACATACTAGGCAACTCATGGTCGCTCCGATCCTCTTCAATCAGGTCATCCGGGATGTTCAAAAGGAAGTCGGTGATGCAGCACTGAGGCAATTCATTGTTCAGCTGTGTAACTAACTGCAGGCGAAGCTGCCAAGGAAGAATTTGACGTTTCAGTCTGGGTGCAGTCTGCTTACTCATGCTAAATCTTCGCCTCACTTTCAACAGTGCCTTTGGAGCCTCTTCTAAGAATGATCAATGTCCCTCTTTGACCAGTCCTGTGGTAGAGGACGGAACCAGGGACAGCAGACGAACCATCCTAATGTACTTGCTCTCTTGCGTTGCACAACTTGGACCTTCCTTCTGCTATTGTCCGTCTGACCATACTGGGCAACTGTTTGTCACGTCTTTCCTGAAGAAGGGGTGTTTGCTGCCAATAACAGAACCGCCACACGTCATTCATTATCCTCCTGCCAGTCTACCAACTCTCAGAGACGCCATACAAAAACTGGTCATGAAGCATGCTGTTCAAGTCTTGGACCAAGCCTCCATCATCAACATCTACTCAGATATTCAGTGCCAAAGAAGAGTCCATAAATCAGCATGATATACAATATGCAGATCTTCAACACCCTGTACTTGGAACGTCCTCCTTACTTCTGCAATGTCTCTGTCAGCCGACTACGCACCATCTAAAGAATTTTATTGTGAGTGGAGATCTTCAAAATGCCTTTCTGCATGTCCAAATAAATTCATTATACTGCAGTTACCTCTGGTTTACTTCCAGGGACATTTCCAGTGGTCGGACCTGCCATTTGTAATTTCCATGGACGGGTTTCTTTAAATCTGGTTCACGAAGCCTGTCATTGCCTTTCTCCACCTGAGGGGAATCAGATTTGAACTGTAACTGGACGATTGTATACAGAGCCATGCCCAGCACAATGTACTTATACAGCTGCTGTCCTTTACCCAGTCGCCTTTTGGTTCCATTCTACCTTCTCCAGGCTTATACTGATGCACATTTACCATCTCCCAATACCAACAATTGGCACGAGATGTGTGCACTCGCTTCTACATTGACTCTGCATCATAATTGCTACCATGGCGGGATGCTTCTGACATCGAAGACGTTGCTGGTCTTCAACAGTTCGGACCCTAGGTACTGCCACTGCAAGTAAAAATCTAGTCAACAAAGATGAGCATTTCCTCCTGAATGTTCTACCTGTACACTGCAATGACTACATTAAAGTCTTGATTGTCAGTCATGCTGTCCATGCTTTGATATAACTGGAATAATGTTAAAAGCAGCGTTAAACCCAACACATTCACTCAGGCATGAGGTCTTATTGATGTACATGATTATTCTCATCTGAGAACTATTGTAGTCATTGGCACGATAACACAGTTATATGATGTAAAACGATTTCGTCATAGTCAAGGCTGGGTACACATTGGGGTTACACTGACGTGAATCAAGTTGCGTAACTCACTTGCGAGGTTTATGTTACCGCTATCAGATGTTAGTGGACGAATCGACCCCCCTCAATCCTGACTGTCGCTTAAAGTTTGCAATGTGTGAGACAGGATAAATAATTTTTAAAAGTTTTAAGTTAAATTTAATAATTTATACTTATCCTGTCTCACTGGATATATTTCTGGATATAGTCCAACCCTTCTCTGGATCGACTCATCTAATTGGACCATGTGAACTTCAGCTTCAGAAGACAAGAATGAATGCTTGGGCCTCATGTGACAGAAAAAGAGACAAATGCAATGTATGAGACAGGATAATTATTAAATATTAATGTAAAATACACAATTTCAGGTACAAAGTCTTTTGTAATAACATTATGAAGGAACAATTTAAGAATTGACTTATAATTTTCAATATCCCCATTTTCGGCATCTGGAATATCTGCCAAATCACATTCCATAGTGTGTAAAAGGCAAATTAGTGATGAAAATTATATGAATGGATCACTGAAAATTGGTTATGACTCCAGATGTTTGCGAAATAGGGTAAGTATGTCCTGCTCTGCCGGTGGTGATTGGCACCACCGTTTCAATCAGCCCGCAAATCACTGGATGCCAGTTAGCGTCAGCTACTCCACAAACTGGGCTTCAGTACAGCAAGGGGAAAATTGGGGAACCCCATTCACAGCGAGGGGAATCCCCTTGAATCCTTGCATTTGATTGGACGATGATTACTATAACCTTTCACCTTGCAAAATCTGTCTGCATGTGTAAAAGTATATGTAAAATTATGTAGTTTAGTATACAGCAATATGTGTATGTATTATTTTTGCAACAGTAAAGTCCAGTTCATATACTCAAAACGGCAAAAGCCTTCTTAAATTTCATATAATACAACAATTACTACTCCCTTCTTGTCATCCATGTTTTATGGTTTAAACCTACACCTGTGTATTTGTCATTCACATGAATCCTCAGTTAATGACTTTATTACAGGTATATTAATTAGTGGTGGAACTACTCAGGAAACCTGACAAAGATGATGCAAAATATCTCAATAACGTTCACCCCTGCCTCTGAGGGTGTCAAGGATATGTAGAAATGAGTGGTTTCATTTTGAATTTCTCATTGTCTTGGGTAACTATTAAATCTAAGATTGGGTTATAAATCCAGGTCTGATTTGGTGAATGTATTTTATGTTATGTAATATGTACTGGCAGCGCAAGAGAGGAATGATCAATTGATCAAAGAATTAACTGATAATGTGTTGATTGGTTATTCACTATTATCTTACATGGTGGATTTGGCAAAACGAAGTGTTTATATATGTAGATTTACTAAAGCAGACATCAAACTTTTGAACTGGTCTCTAACATTTCTAAAGTACTTCCCTTGTTTATATGACACAAACTTTTCTTTTATTGCAGATACATGTCATCATCTTCAAAATCTTATTTGTGAGTATTTTCTGTATCCCTTAAAGTGTTTATTGTTCCTTTGTCGAACATGTCAGGTTAAATTGTTTTCTTCTGTATAAAAGTGTGGATAATCAACAAATAAATGTACAATGACAAATAAGCAGCTGACACCTACAACCAGTCACCTAAATATTTGGAATCATTCAGCACACTTCATTCACATCAAACAATCAAATTTGTTGATGTAGGTTCCAGGACTATGATACACACAGTACTTCAACACTTCAAGCACATTCATCTAAAACGGCATGTTATTTGTTAGGGAAGAGAATATATGGATGTCAACTTCTTTATTATTGGGGCAGTTGGGTAGCCTAGTGGTTAAAGTTTCACGCCGTCACGCCGAAGACCCGGGTTTGATTCCCGACATGGGTACAATGTGTGAAGCCCATTTCTGGTGTCCCCCTGCCGTGATATTGCTGGAATATTGCTAAAAGAGGCGTAAAACCATACTCACTCACTCACTTTATTATGAGGAACACAACGTTTCGGAGAAAATGCGTACTCCTTCATCAGAATGAATGCCACGAGGCAGAGAGCACTGAAGCAAATTGAGGCCCTGACAGAGTTCCAAGCAATAAGTCCCAAGCACGAGGCAGATAGGTTCCCTGGTCACGGTTCATGGCTGGCTGGTGTCTCCTGATGTCAATTAATGGCTTCTTGTAGTTTTCTTTGTCGCCAGTTGTTGATGATGGTAGACAGGACTTTGGTGGCTTCCCACATCATGTTATGGTTTTCATTCTCCACCATGTGTTCAGAAATAGCGGATTTCAGGTCGAGTTTGTTAACAGAGGTCCGATGTTCTTTGAGTCTTGTGTTGAGGGGTCTGAGGGTTTCTCTAATGTACTGGTGGCCACAGTTGCAGGGTATCTGGTATATACATCCTCGGGAGTTGGGACTTTTTTTGCCTCTGCCATTAGCTTGTAGATGGGTCTTGATTGACTTGCTGCTAGAGAAGGTAACATCTATGCTGGCTTTGTTCTTGATGAGGTGGGAAATCTGATGAGTGACGGGGCCTTGGTAGGGTATGGTGATCAATTCTGATAGACGCCACCTGAAACCATCCACAGATAAAACAAGCTATCATCACACCCTAACCCGACGTGCCAAATCCATTTGCCACCCTGATGCCCTCAGTGGTGAAGTGGACCATCTCAAGAAAACCTTCACTTCCCTCAACAGTTATCCTGCCCACCTAGTCTCCGAAACCATCAGCAAGACCCTCAAGAACTCCGACCCCAGGCCCAAACCAGCTTCATCGCCTATCAGAATCACTCTCTGCCTCATGGCATTCATTCACCTGATGGAGTAAGCATATACTCCGAAACGTTGTGTTCCTCATAATAAAGAAGTTGACATCCATATATTCTCTTCTAAATGCCTTTCAAAGACCGGATGTTATTTGTTGGCTGCCAACATCTAACACTTCGTGCTAATGCTGCTGGAAAGACAAGTGAGGAAAGGAACCCTAAAGTACTGTCGAAAATGCTAGAATTGTGCTTACCTGACTTAATTTAACAAATTCAGATCACAGGGTTATTTAAATTGCATATATCAAAATATTGCAAATCTACCTAATTTAGCCTATCCTGACACTGCGATTAGCCTAAAAAGGTACTTTCACAGGTAAAATTATGATAAACAGAAAATATTTGTGTGTTGTCATGCATATGTGACACATGTGACAAGAAAATGCGGACTGTCACATATGGTCTTAGTAAGGGGTGCGTACATAGATTACTTACAGATTGGTCTGGAAGTTGGTCGGGAGGTGCTTATTGGAGCAGGGTGCTTAACATGCTTGATCTAGTGAATACGGTACATTAAACAATTTAAGTTGTAGCAGTATCACGAGGGATACATGTGGTTTTATGCGTCCCACGTTTGATTTTATACCAAGAGCTGGAGGCAAGTGGTATAAAACCTAAAGAGGGACCATAAAACCACATGTACAACTCGTGATCCTGCTACAACCAATATTTCTTACTGACATGGCTTAAAATTACATTGTAAAAGAATTCAAACAAATTAAAAAATGATAGAAAACAGCTGTCGATTGAGCTGAAGTTATCTTGTAAATGACTTGTTAAAAGCATCAAGCGTTTTGCTTTGAAGTGGAGTATAAGGGATTTATTCTCCCGCTGAGAAATTATTTCCTTCCAAAGCGGGTTATACAGTATTTTATCAAGATCACATGGACCAATCAGTTTCTCATCATTCTGACATGGAGGTATGATAAATTATTTTTTCAAGATCACATGAACCAATCATTCTGAGATGAAGGTATGATAATGGGCGGTATTACATGAGGTAAATAACATGTACAGACAAGCAGCTGTAAACATACTTTACATCAAGTACATATAGTGTGCTGACCAAACTATGACAATGCATGGATTTATGTTACATTACATTCCAGTTTAACTACAGTAACATGTGAATGCATTTTAGCAATTGTTTGGTTTCCAGCTGAAACAGAACTAATGATTAACTCAAAGGATGCCAGCAAGCACGTGTCAACATGTGCAGAGGATGCTGCCTACAAGCGTCTGCTGGAACAAGGCTTTGTGGTCATCAAAGGGAGATCAGGATCTGGGAAATCCCACATGGGATACACTCTGTTACAGAGGGCATTGAAGCAGTTCCAACGGAAACCAGTGAAGATCTCATCACCTGATGAATGGAACTATCTACCCAAATCAAGTAATCCTAAATCTGATGTTGCTATTCACAAATACATTGTCATGATTGATGATATTTTCGGATCTACTAATCTGATCCAACACAATTTGGACCAGTGGAGACAGAAGTTTGACCTTGTGTGGCCTCAGGTGGAATCTGGACAAATCTGGTTAGTGTTAACGACAAGACCAGAAATAATTACCCTGACAGGATCAAGCTTTCATGGGTATAACATATTTACATCTTCAAGAAGTATTCTTTTGGATGAAAAATTACACTGTCTCACACAAGACGAAAAATTAGAATTTTTGGACAAACTGTGTGGAAAATATATAGCATGTGAGAAAAGAATTGGGATAGCAAAGACAGACACTGCTCTTGGCTTTCCACAATGTTGTATGTATTTTGCTTCTCATAAACACATACAGGAAAGAGGCTTTGCCTTTTTCCGCAATCCCTTTGAATTTATCAAACAAGAGATTGACTCTGTGAAAAGGAGTAAAAAAGATAGCTATTGTGTGTTGCTCATGGTTCTGGCATATGATGGACAGCTTCCAAAAGGACTTGTGAAAACAATTAGTCCCCCTGAAGAGTTTACAAGTCGATGTAAGCAAATGATGAAAGTTTCTGGTTTGAAGGAGGAACCAAATATGAAGGAGATTCTTAAATCTTTATGTGGTGTTTACCTGGTCAGCGATGGGAATTGTTATCAGTTCTCACACAGGTCAATACATGATGTCTTGTTTGTGGATTTATGTAAGTCATACCCTGATTTGGGAATAGACATGAGCACGCCATCTATGCTAGTTGAATATGTTCGAACTACAGATCGTAGATGTGATATGCTAAATGTGGTTGTTTTGGATAAAGAATATTATCCAAAACTGGCAAACAAACTGAGAGAATATCTGTCAGACGACAACAGTCGATACATTGTGTTGGCCCACCCTTCACTTAACGATGAAAAAGTTGTAACGCTTTTTAGAGGATGGATTATTAGCATGGTACCATTGCGAGTGGAAAAGAATTTTTGGAAGTTTTATATGGACGATGAATTTTCTACTTTCTGTAATGTATGTGAAATCTCTGTTTCTGATATGTCACACATCAATCACATTAGGTATAGTTATTTTCTCTCTTATGCCATAATGGCAGGTATGACAAAGTTTGCTGAACACATCATTGACCAAGTCAGTACTGCCACTGATGCTGAAACCCAGCCTATGTTTGACGAAGCCTTAGTGTGTGCTGTGTACATGGGCCAAAACTGTGTAGTTGACAAATTGTTTAGAAAAGGAGCACAACCATCACAGAAATGTCTTTATGTTCTCAGTGCTTCACCAGAAATGAATTTCAAAAATTCCTCAACGTTGGTAGAAATGATCAAACCAACACCGGATCGCCTGAAACAGATTTTCGCCAGTGTAGTTCTGCATTGCAATGTAACTTTCCTCAGAATTATAATTAAAATGTGCACTGAAATATTGGAAAATCCCAAACATAATTACAGCCAAGCCATTTTAGGTCTTTGTACAATTCTAAATAGAAATGTTGCATCCAAAACATTTTACATTGTCAAGCTAAACAACAAATTACATGAAGATATATCCAGGACATTTTCCAGAGCTGTTGATGTTATGTCACTTCTTCACAAGGCAGGGGGAATCATGGATATTGATGAAATGTTTACTCTCGCAACTCAAAAATACGCCCCAGATACATTGATAGAATTAATCCGTGTGGGTTTTGAGATTCCCCCTGCTCATCATGATGATATACAATCCAGTGTGTGTCACAGTAAGAAGTTCCATCAACTATTAGAATCTTTGATCGACAAACTAGCTCCAGTACAAATAAAAGACAGAACTGTGAAAACTCTTCTGCATAAAGCAGCATGGAGTCAGTGCAAGATATGTATCAAGATGTTGATTTCAGATGTGGAAGGAACTGACAGTGACGGTAACACAGCTTTACACTGCATGATAAAATCTGATGAAAATCACGACCATGAAGTGTTAGAATTATTAATGGAAAAGACCAATCACAGACACATAAAGAACAATAGTGGTGCGTTACCTCTCCACATTGCAGCAAGAAGGCAGTGTAAGGAGTGTATCAGTCATTTGCTCAGGGAGGCTGATGTAAGTAAGGATCATACAGGTAATCCTGTACACTGTACATTTGATGAAGGAGCTTCACACCATAGAGATGAATCACGTGAAAATGTCTTCCATGTTTGGAAAGGGTCAGATGTGATTATGAGTCAGACAAAGACACCATGTAAAGAACGTGGGGAACTGTTGCTCCCAAAGTCTGATATAAATGATCAGGATGAGGCTGGGAACACTGCACTGCACTATCTCATTCACAATGAATCATATTATGGAAGAAATGAATGTTTAGACCATGAAACATATCAGCTCTTTCTTGATAATGGGGCAGATGTGCACATAAAGAACAAGGGAGGAAAGACAGCTCTGCACTTGGCAGCAAAGGCAAATTGTAAAAACTGTGTGAAAATGTTGCTCTTAATGTCTGATATAAATGATCAGGATGAGGTGGGGAACACTGTACTGCACTATCTGAATCATTATCAAAGTTATGATCTGACCAAAGTTGAACGTGTTTGCCAAGAAACGTGTCAGATCTTTCTTGACAGTGGGGCAGATGTGCACATAAAGAACAAGGAAGGAAAGACAGCTCTGCGCTTGGCAGCAGAGGCAAATTGTAAAAACTGTGTGAAAATGTTGCTCCCAATGTCTGATATAAATGATCAGGATGAGGTGGGGAACACTGCACTGCACTATCTGAATCATTATCAAAGTTATGATCTGACCAAAGTTGAACGTGTTTGCCAAGAAACATGTAAGATCTTTCTTGATAATGGGGCAGAAGTGCGCATAAAGAACAAGGTAGGAAAGACAGCTCTGCACTTGGCAGCAAAGGCAAATTGTAAAAACTGTGTGGAAATGTTGCTCCCAAAGTCTGATATAAATGATCAGGATGAGGCGGGGAACACTGCACTGCACTATCTCATTCACAATGAATCATATCATTATGGAAGGAAGGAATGTTTAGACCATGAAACATATCAGCTCTTTCTTGATAATGGGGCAGATGTGCACATAAAGAACAAGGAAGGAAAGACAGCTCTGCACTTGGCAGCAAAGGCAAATTGTAGAAACTGTGTGAAAATGTTGCTCCCAAAGTCTGATATAAATGCTCAGGATGAGCATGGGAACACTGCACTGCACTATCTGCATCATTATCAAAGCTATTATCTGACCAAAGTTGAACGTGTTTGCCAAGAAACGTGTCAGATCTTTCTTGATAAAAGGGCAGATGTGCACATAAAGAACAAGGAAGGAAAGACAGCTCTGCACTTGGCAGCAGAGGCAAATTGTAAAAACTGTGTGAAAATGTTGGTCCCAAAGTCTGATATGAATGCTCAAGATGAGCATGGGAACACTGCACTGCACTATCTGCATCATTATCAAAGTTATTATCTGACCAAAGTTGAACGTGTTTGCCAAGAAACGTGTCAGATCTTTCTTGATAAAAGGGCAGATGTGCACATAAAGAACAAGGAAGGAAAGACAGCTCTGCACTTGGCAGCAGAGGCAAATTGTAAAAACTGTGTGGAAATGTTGCTCCCAATGTCTGAAATAAATGAACAGGATTGGGCGGGGAACACTGCACTGCACTATCTCATTCACAATAAGTCATATCATTATGGAAGGAAGGAATGTTTAGACCATGCAACATATCAGCTCTTTCTTGACAACAGGGCAGATGTGACCATAAAGAACAAGAAAGGAAAGACAGCTCTGCGCTTGGCAGCAAAGGCAAATTGTAAAAGATGTGTGAAAATGTTGCTGCCAATGTCTGATGTAAATGAACAGGATTGGGCGGGGAACACTGCACTGCACTTTCTCATTCACAATAAGTCATATCATGGAATGAGTGAATGTTTAGACCATGAAACATATCAGCTCTTTCTTGACAACAGGACAGATGTGACCATCAAGGACAAGGAAGGAAAGACAGCTCTGCACTTGGCAGCAAGGGCAAATTGTAAAAGATGTGTGAAAATGTTGTTACCAAAGTCTGATATAAATGGACAGGATGAGGATGGGAACACTGCACTGCACTATCTCATTAACAATGAATCATATCATTATGGAAGGAATGAATGTTTAGACCATGAAACATATCAGCTCTTTCTTGATAATGGGGCAGATGTGCACATAAAGAACAAGGAAGGAAAGACATATCTGCACTTGGCAGCAAAGGCAAATTGTAAAAACTGTGTGGAAATGTTGCTGCCATAAGGATAAGGATAAGGTTGGGGACACTGCACTGCACTTTCTGCATCATTATCAAAGTTATCATCTGACCAAAATTGAACGTGTTTGCCAAGAAATGTGTCAGCTCTTTCTTGCCAATAGGGCAGATGTGCACATAAAAAACAACGAAGGAAAGACAGCTCTGCACTTGGCAGCAAAGGCAAATTGTAAAAACTGTGTGGAAATGTTGTTACCAATGTTAGATATAAATGAACAGGATTGGGCGGGGAACACTGCACTGCACTGCACTATCTCTTTCACAATAAGTCATATCATTATGGAAGGCTCAAACATTCAGACCATGAAACATATCAGCTCTTTCTTGACAGTGGGACAGATGTACAAATAAAGAACAAGAAAGGACAGACAGTTGTGCTCTTGGCGGCTATGGCAAAATGTGAAACATGTTTTGCTACCAATGTCTGATAAATGATCAGGATGGGGAACACTACACTATTTAAGTTGCAGTCAATCATTGTTTGTGGAAGGCTTAAACAGTCAGACCATGAAACATGTCATCTCTTTCTTGACAAGGGGTCAGATGTACACACCAGGTCAAGAAAAAACCCAGAAAATTCATGTGGCAGCAGAGGCAATAATTATTTGGCATTTCCTGCTGTTCATATCACAGAAGCAAGACAAGCGGGTGAAATTTGTTTGACGGGAAAGTAAACAAAATTTCTCTAGACAGTCGTATATATATATATATATATATATATATATATATATATATATATATATATTCTATCTTTATGAAATGAAACTGATTTAAGTGTTTGATGTTTATGTAAACATAATCTAAAATTAAATTTCTGTCACCTGGTGTCATCATTGGTGCAGAGGAGATTTGGAGAAAAAACACAGCTCATAATTTTGTATGAATAAAAAACTCAGCCTACATCTGCTTGAAAAAATATAACTCAGCCTCAATTTAATAGTCCTGACCTCAATATTGCTGTGCTCATCAATACAGAGTATTTTGTGAGCAAAGCCATAATCTTTGACAGTGAGAAATGATCATGAGAAACAGTATGCCGGTAACTGCATTTATTAATAATCATTTCAAATCTTTCATTTCAAGAGGCCATAAACAATTTTTGACTGAGATGTGAAATGACCAAAACAGCATCATTTACCCTAACTTGGAAAAAATACAATATAAACATATGTATAAAGATAAAAAGTTTATTGCAATAACCTAAATTGGCGAGCAAAAGAAACGTTACCAACCAACATTGTTTGTTCCTAAAAACAGTACACGACCCATGTCAAGGAAGATATGTTCATTGTAAAAAAATATGAACTGACAACATAATTATGTACATCATACAAGCTGTCATGAAAATCATGTTGATCTAAAATGTACCCAATTGCAGTTTGAGATGCATCAGTTGTGAGGATGAAGGGTTTGTTGACACTTTGGACATAGACGTATTGTGACTGTATTGGCAGGAGTAAAGGGGACACTTTGTACATGGATGCATTGTAACTGTATTGACAGAAGTAAAGCTGACACTTTATATGTGGGAGCATTGTAACTGTATTGACAGGAGTAAAGTTGACACCTCTGTACATAGATGTATTGTATCTGTGTTGACAGAAGTGAACTTGACACTTTGTACGTAGATGCATTGTTACTGTATTGACAGGAGTAAAGTTAACACTTTGTACATAGATGCATTGTAACTGTGTTGACAGGAGTAAATTTGACACTTTGTACATAGATGCATTGTAACTGTGTTGACAGGAGTAAATTTGACACTTTGTACATAGATGCATTGTAACTGTGTTGACAGGAGTAAATTTGACACTTTGTATATGGATGCATTGTAACTGTTTTGAAAGGAGTAAAGTTGACACTTTATATGTGGATGCATTGTAACTGTATTGACAGGAGTAAAGTTGTCACTTTGTACATAATTGCATTGTAGCTGTATTGACAGGAGAAGATTTGACACTTTGTACATAGATGCATTGTAACTGTGTTGACAGGAGTAAATTTGACACTTTGTACATAGATGCATTGTAACTGTGTTGACAGGAGTAAATTTGACACTTTGTATATGGATGCATTGTAACTGTTTTGAAAGGAGTAAAGTGGACACTTTATATGTGGATGCATTGTTACTGTATTGACAGGAGTAAAGTTGTCACTTTGTACATAATTGCATTGTAGCTGTATTGACAGGAGAAGATTTGACACTTTGTATATGGATGCTTTCTAACTGTATTGACAGTAGTAAATTTGACAACACTTTGTTCATAGATGCTTTGTAACTGTAGACAGAAATTAAGCGGACACTTTGTACATAATTGCATTGTAACTGCATTGATAGGAGTAAAGTGGTCACTTTGTACATCGATGCATTGCAACTGTGTTGATAGGAGTAATTTTGACACTTTGTATGTGGATGTATTGTAACTGTATTGATGTATTGTAACTATTGACAGGAGAAAATTTGGCAGTTTGTTCATAGATGCTTTGTAACTGTATTGACAGGAGTAAATTTGACACTTTGTACATAGATGTATTATATTTGTATTGACAAGAGTAAAGTTGACACTTTGTACATAATTGCATTGTAACTGTATTGACAGGAGTAAATTGACACTTTGTACATAGGTGCATTGTAACTGTATTGAAAGGTAGTAGAGTTGACACTTTATATGTGAATGCATTGTAACTGTATTGACAGGAGTAAAGCTGACACTTTATATGTGGATGCATTGTAACTGTATTGACAGGAGTAAAATTGACACTTTGTACGTAATTCCATTGTAACTGTATTGACAGGAGTAAAATTTACACTTTGTATATGGATGCATTGTAACTGTATTGAAAGGTAGTATAGTTGACACTTTATATGTGGATGCATTGTAACTGTATTGACAGGAGTAAAGCTGACACTTTATAAGTGGATGCATTGTAACAGTATTGACAGGAGTAAAATTGACACTTTGTACATAGATGCATTGTAACTGTATGGAAAGGAGTAGAGTTGACACTTTATATGTGGATGCATTCTAACTGTATTGACAGGAGTAAAGTTGTCACTTTGTACATAGGTGCATTGTAACTGTATTTACAGGAGTAAAGCTGACACTTTATATGTGGATGCATTGTAACTGTATTGAGAGGAGTAAAGTTGACACTTTGTTTATAGATGCTTTGTAATTGTATTGACAGGAGTAAAGTTGACACTTTGTACATAGATGCATTGTAACTGTTTTGACTGGAGGAAAGTTGAAACTTTGTACACATATGTATTGCAACTGTATTGACAGGAGTAAAGCTGACACTTTATTGCATTGTAACTTGATGACAGGAGTAAAGTTGACACTTTGTATATAGATGCATTATAACTGTATTGAAAGGAGTAAAGTTGACACTTTGTACATAGATGCATGATAACTGCATTGACAGGAGTAAAGTTGACACTTTGTGCATAGATGCATTGTAACTGTATTGAAAGGATTAAGTTGACACTTTGTTACTGTATTGACAGGAGTAAATCTGACACTTTGTACATAGATGCATTGTAACTGTATTGACAGGAGTAGATTTGACACTTTGTATATGGATGGATTGTAAATGTATTGACAGGAGTAAAGCTGACACTTCATATGTGGATGCATTGTAACTGTATTGAGAGGGGTAAAGTTGACACTTTGTACATAATTGCATTGTAACTGTATTGACGGGAGTAATTTTAACACTTTGTATATGGATGCATTGTAACTGTATTGACAGGAGTAACGTTGACACTTTGTACATAGATGCATTATATTTGTATTGACAGGAGTAAAGTTGACACTTTGTACATAATTGCATTGTAACTGTATTGAGAGGAGTAAAATTGACACTTTGTACATAGGTGCATTGTAACTGTATTGACAGGAGTAGAGTTGACACTTTATATATGTGGATGGGTTGTAACTGTATTGAGAGGAGTAAAGTTGACACTTTGTACATAAATGCATTGTAACTGTATTGACAGGAGTAAATTTGACACCTTGTATATGGATGCATTTTAACTGTATTGACACGAGTAAAGTTGTCACTTTGTACATAGGTGCATTGTAACTGTATTGACAAGAGTAAAGCTGACACTTTATTTGTGGATGGATTGTAACTGTATTGAGAGGAGTAAAGTTGACACTTTGTACATATATGCATTGTAACTGTATTGACAGGAGTAAAATTGACACTTTGTATATGGATGCATTGTAACTGTATTGACATTAGTAAAGTTGTCACTTTGTACATAGGTGCATTGTAACTGTTTTGACAGGAGTAAAGCTGACACTTTATATGTGGATGCATTGTAACTGTATTGACAGGAGTAAAGTTGACACTTTGTACGTAATTGCATTATAACTGTTTTGACAGGAGTAATTTTGACACTTTGTATATGGATGCATTTTTATTGTATTGACAGGAGTAACGTTGACACTTTGTACATAGATGCATTATATTTGTATTGACAGGAGTAAAGTTGACACTTTGTACATAATTGCATTGTAACTGTATTTACAGGAGTAAAATTGACACTTTGTACATAGGTGCATTGTAACTGTATTGATAGGGATAAAGTTGACACTTTGTACATAGGTGCATTGTAACTGTATTGACAGGAGTAGAGTTGACACTTTATATGTGGATGCATTGTAACTGTATTGAGAGAAGTAAAGTTGACACTTTGTGCATAGATGCATTGTAACTGTATTGACAAGAGTAAAGCTGACACTTTATATGTGGATGGATTGTAACTGTATTGAGAGGAGTAAAGATGACACTTTGTACATAATTGCATTGTAACTGTTTTGACAGGAGTAAAGCTGACACTTTATATGTGGATGCATTGTAACTGTATTGAGAGGAGTAAAATTGACCCTTTGTACGTAATTGCATTATAACTGTATTGACAGGAGTAAATTTGACACTTTGTATATTGATGCATTTTTATTGTATTGACAGCAGTAAC